CTGACAAGAATGGAAATAATGAGCAATGAGTTCTACGCATGAAAATTTCAGGTTATCTAAAAATCATGGAATGACTAAATACATTAATAATGACTATCAAGTAGCCAGTACAATTGTACATCTTTTTCCTTTTGCAAACGAGGCTCCAGCTGACTTTATAATGTGTAATTTACAGAATAAGGCCAAAAATATGGTGTTGCAAATTTTGATACAGGTCCTGTGTAATTTGAAGATTGTGAACCTTAATTGTAATTTAACATTGCAGCACTTGTTCTTGAAGTTAATAAAGACCAAGATAAGGTGGATTAAAACTAATTACTGTAATCTCACCTCAAAATGAAAAGGGAAAAAACGAATAGATTAGGGAATCTTACCGAGAAAGCAGAATAATGTCATTGCGAGCCCTTTCATTTACAAACTTTGCGTCATTGAAAACAAATTTGCAAGCTTCAGATAAACCCTGACTGGAGTGAGTAGTTCTCTCAGAAAAGACTGGAGCCCCCCCATCTTCATCATCCCCAATCTGTGAACTAGCATACAACAGGAGTTCTTTAACAGATATTGAAAAAGAGAACAATTGGCAGTTCTTTTAAACTTATGCTAAAAATATGCCATAATCAAAGAGCATGAAAAACAAACTAATTTGGCAAGAGTTAAAGTGATAGTTCAAATAAATACAGAAAATTCTGAAAGAAGATGAAGTAAATCATTGTTAAAAACTCAGACATATTACTTTTACCCAAAAAAAAAAAAAAAAAAAACTCGAAGAGAAAAATGAGGCACCAATGGAGAACACAAGAAATCAAACAAATTAATTAATTAACTCTTTTTGATGAGTGAACAAACATAAATGATGTAATTGTCTACAGAATTAAGTGTCACAGGACCCTCTGGTCCATTAGGTTCTAATTTGTAATTTTTCTCACCTTGACACTAAACTTTGGATCTAGATGAAGGGAATACAAATGTACTTAACCTAGTTTGAGGGCCGTGAAAGGTACCTAGAGAGTGAATCCCTCCCCCTACATAATATATACACACACTACTGTCCTTGTTTGTCTAATTGCCCTCTTCCTGTTAAGAAATCCTCCTGCTGGTTTTTTGTATAATATTGGATAACTCATAATGCATTATATCATCCGGTCTTGTCCCTATGAGTGAGTAGTCGTTTCTAGTAGTACTTCTGAGTGCTTATTCCTTACCTAAGTAAGCAAGTAAACAACCTTCATGTATCCCCTTTAGTAGCCTAAGCAAGCTTTCTTTCTTAGTGCTTGCGTTAAGGAAATGTTTGATTAAAAAAGCTAGATGCGGAGCAACCCTATACCTACACAAGTAAACAAGCTAGAAGAAGATAAAAATCATATCTCAATCAACTCAGACGAATGTATTTCTTACTCTGAGACAAGAGGAAGATGGGAAGATCAAAGGTCTCTTTTCTTTTTGTCTTTCAAATGGAGACATATAAATCGCACCTTGCCTAATTCCTATGTTCAATTGGCATTATTCCTTCAAATACAAACCACAAGTTCCATGTAAGGAAAGTGCAAGAGATAGCGAAAATCCACGCATATGCAATTGTTTAATAAATTAACAAGTTCCAATTTTTTTTATTTATTTTTATTTGAGTTCAACAAGTTCCAATTTACCAGCAAAGGTTGACAATGAAAATCATAAGCCAGTTGACAGGTTGCTTCCCAATGAAAAAAAACCAAAACAAAACAACGATAATACTATAAACAATCTGATTTAAGGAAAAGCTACATTTATCTAATAAATTTGTTGACTTGCATTATGTTTTTAGATCAATTATTATTTGCTTTGTCCTCATTAATTTGCTGCACGTACACATAGAACAGTATCTAATTTAAAAAAGTAAATTCACCATCTCAGAAACATAACAGCTTTTCTACTAGGTTCTTACCAAGTCTCCTTTGCCGAATCACCATAAGTTATGATGCGTTCTTTTGCTTTGGTATTATGACTCCCTCCAGACAGGTATATGACAGTAGATCTCTGAGAGACAGTAAAACTAACTGGTTTACCCAATATATGCTTCAAACCATCATTAGAAAATCTCAATTTTTCTGAACTGAGACGTGCACAATTTAGCTGCCTCTGTTCAACCCCTTGACTTGGACAATGAAGGTTATGTCGTTGCACTGACTTGGAAAACGAATTTAAAATTCTGTATGAGTTAGGAATCGCTTTTGAATTAGTCACTGCAGGACAGCTTGAAACCTTGCTTGCAGTAAGTGCCATGGAAGGATCAACACACCACTAAAGTGAAACTAGCCAGCGTTTCCTTCAAAGAAGCTTAAAGCTTCAGTTGCAACAGAAAAATGAATCAAGAAAGTGTTATATTCTCATTTAACATAAAAAACTTACAAGAAAATACTACCACCCAAAACACAAAATTTTATACAAGTATCAAATACACAATATTCCATATACCATACTAAGTACCCAACATATGCAGTCTAAGTTTCTAACATGTAAACGGATACCATATTTCCACGGGAATCCTTTTAATTCATAGGCAAAGACTTTGCACAACAAGAATTTCATAACTTCTGGCTAAATGTATACTGGGTTTAGAAATCTTTTGCCAACATAATCCTTATAGACAACCAATAAGGTATTCACTACCTCTCTTTTTTCAATAAACTCTACCCTCATGTTCCAGTCTTTCTTATTAGGCTTCCAAAATCAGCGAATTCAACATCTTTAGGGTTCAAACCTATTTAACTATGAGTTTGGAGTGCTTCTGTTTCATTCCAAAATCACGGTCCGTATATAAAGAACATTCCCATTTCTTTCTTCCAATTCTCATAAGGACACTTTAGTTACTTATTCCCTTTCGGCCCACATTTTCTCTTCTATTTAACCGCCCTTGACGATCTTGCAGCTCGCTCATAAAGTACAGAGTAACCTTCAGTTCATGGCAACAAAAGGTCTATAAAGTTGTTCAATTATAATGCACAATGCCGGTGTTGTCACTCATATTATAGAGTTCAACACTAGAAAGTAGAGGCGATGTATTTTGATAGTTTTAGAGTTAATCATCTGCACAAATTTTATATAATATCCAATTTGCCCATTACCAATCTTGTTCACCTGAGCATTTCAGTTCAAATTTTCTTACCATTAACGTTTCACCACTCCTTTAATTACTCAATTATTTTAACATGATCATAACAATAACAAACACATAACAGCTAAATCAAAGCAAACCTTCACCATGCATTAGTCACTCAACAAAAATTCGAAAGACAAAATCTTGAAAATTCAACGACATCCCACTAACCAAATTTCAAATCAAAGAAAACCCACATAAGAATTTGCAGAATAATGATATGGAAGCAGCTCAAAGTCAGTGAATAAAGTAAGAAATGCAAGGAAACCAACTCACCTGCGGTAGGAAGCACTGACTTTACAGGAGAGAGAGAGAGAGAAGAGAGTGAGTAAAGCAGCCAAATTTATAGGCAGTGTACAGTGGAGGCAGAATGTCATGGAAATTGAGAAGAGAAATTGCAACCACAACAAGTTCCTGTGGCCCCGGAATTGCCACACCGCAAACTTACAAGAACGAGGAAGTATGGAAGGATGGAGAGTAACGTATTTATCATTTATGCATGTATTGGAAGAAATTATTATTTATGGTGTTTCGATGTATTAAAAAAAAATTGCTTGGTTCTTGTTGACGTCAGATTTTTTTTTTTTGAAATACAAAAGTTTTTTTTTTAATGAATTGGAAATACAAAAGTATTATCCAATGATTTTCGGCATTCACTGAAATACTTATAATCAAAATTCTAAAAGACGATAGTACTAATTAGACAGTTGACATGAACTTAGAGCCTAGGTATGAGGCTGTTTTTGTAATTTTAATTAAATTTATTATATAACATATAAATAAATGTTTGTTTATATTTTAAAAAACACATAACTATAGTGGGATGCATAAATTTCAAAATAAAATGATATAATGACTATAGAGTATAAGAACATATTGAAAATCTAGGAACAAACATATAATGAGAGTTCATCAAATATTCAACAAAACTTTTACAATTTATCAAAAATAAAATAAAATGCAAAATGAAAGCTATCTATTTCTTGTTCAAGTGAGACTCGTGACTTAGAAGAGTGCCAAAACGGGTCTAGACAGTGAAAAGCGAGTGCCTAAGCAAGTCTAGGCATCACTTCTTAAATTTCAAACATCTAAAAATTAATTTAAACAATAGATAGCCGTCTAACACCTAAACAGTGTTAAAGAGAAGTTTTTTAGAGTAGTGCTTAGAACTTGGACTTGCTTGCGTCCACAAGTTTTTTTTATATATATATTTAATTTTCTTTTATTTGGAGTTTTCTTGAATTGTGATAGATGTATGGATTGGGCTACCACCACTGCATAAACTATTTGCTAAATGACAGAAAACCTAATCCCTTGCGGATAAAAGTAAAAACCATTTATTTTGGGCCTTTGGCTCTATGCCTAACAAAACATAAAAGTGTCATATATTGGCCATTTTCTTTTCATTTATTTGGTTTATTTTATTCTCGTAAGAGAAGATCTTATTAGCATTCTAAAAATATTATTTTATATTCTAAATACTTAAAAAAAAATAGATAAAGAAATGGATGATGTTTTTAAAATGTCAATAACACCTCATGTCAAAATTTCGATGTCTTCGCCATTATTAACAAAAGATTCTACTATACAAAGATTAAGCATTTGATAAGCATCCAACCCTTTCCTTACAAGCCATATTTTAAGACCAAATACTATCCATGAGCTCTTAACAGCGCACGGGGTTAAAATACGAGTGTACAATAGAGATGATATTTCTCACTCTTTTAGGGTATGATATTTTGCACTCATTTATAATGAGTGGATAAATTATATCACGTAATATTATTTCAGTATCATCCGATTTACGGTAAATAAAAATCTTGATAATCTTATAATGAACATAAAAATCTCCATGGATCTCGCAATATATGGTGAATTGGTGATTGATTCGATCGACAACTTTGTTACCAGATTCTTTCATTTTCAAATCGAAGTTTACAAAGTTGAATACAAATGAAATAAAGCCACAGCCTACAAGAAGCTAGGACACTAGGGCATACGTTAACATTAGGGTCGTCCTAATGCATTAAACAAATAATATAAAGCCAAGATTTTTCGAAATAAATATATATATTTAATTTAAGGGCATTTGGGTCGTCCTTCCTGGGTCTTCCAGTTGTTGTAGCAAGGGCACATTTGCTTGTTGCCAACGACGCCCGGAGGAACACATTTGCATTTGGCACAGCACTTCTCGCAGAAGAACATGCACGGCTTCTTGTGCGATGTCGCCGAGCAACGGTTCTTACATCTCGGCGTGCACGCTGCAATCACGAGTAACATCGATTGTCAAGTTAAATTCATAAAAACTCGAGAATAAATCCTCCCCTCCTACTCCACTACATGCACCCTCGAGCAACCTCGCAAAGAGAAAAGAAGGGTTGATGAAAACAGTAAATAAATTGAAGAACTCAGTTTATAACGTTTACCTGACTGAGGAAGCGTCTTGTAAGCCTGCGCATGAATTAACAGAACAAAACGACGAAAGAAACTAAGTCAGAAAAAGAGTAGATTCCATATATTTCTTAGAAATATGTTATCAGGATCTGAATCAAACTGTCTGAATTTTGATCTAACAATTAGTGCATGTGAACTTCTACGGTAAATAAAGGTCGAAATTTCGAGTCAAATTTGAATGGTTCAACAATTTAACTTTCAACCGTCAGTTAAGAGTTCTTATAGTCAATAATGAGGAAGACGGCGAAATTTCGACAATGCAGTATAAGTAAGAAGATGAATGCACCTCAGCTACGTGAGAGAATGTGAGTAGAACAAGCAGAGAAACCAGGATCAAGACGGAGGTGTATCGACTTGCTGCCATTGCTGTGAGTGAAGAGCAAAGAGAACTGCTTTCTGCTTTCTGGTAGAAGACTTGTGGGGTTATTTATAGGATATGAAATATTATGATTAGGGGAATAAAAAGAAAAGCGTAGTTTAAGGCGTGGAATTGGGGTCTCAAAAGTCCATGTGGGATCGAGCTGCGTGCGCTGAAGGCGCCGTGTTTGGCGTTTGGTTTTGTTTTAGGGTTTTTGCTTGCTTTGCTTTGCTTTTGCTTTTTCTTCAACTGCAACGCCATGTTACTTATTGTCTTCTTTCATTCTTTTCCTAACAGATCCAATCTCCATTTTCTACCTTTTTTGTCTTTTTTTTTTCTTTTCTGAGCAATATTTTAGACCCACTGCTTTTTTTTTGTCCAATTACCTTTTAGTTTTAGTTTTACATGACGGGATAAGCTGCCCAACGAATTGGCAATAATTTGATATCGAACTCTCTATTTGTAAAATTGTTCAACATGAGTAACACTTCATTGTAGCATTGTTGCATTAGTGGCAACAACTATTAATTCAATTCCCCTATGTTTAACGATATCAAAAGTATCTCAAGTTCTTTATGGTCTAAAAAGCGATATTTGTAACGAGGTCAGATTCAAACACAAAACCTCAAGAACGTGATGAACATTTCTAACCACAAAAATTTTATGATGATCTGGATTATAGAATAGTCGAAGTTGTTTATTGTCAAATCTTACTTTTTCAAAAGATTTAACACTTAAAGACCCGAAGTATCATTCTTCCCAAAAAAAACCTCCGAAATCATAGCCTATTCGGACCTAGAAGGAGTAAATAACCGTAGCTCGTCACCAGTTGTTTCTTAAAAAAAAAAAAAAAACCCTCCGAAATATATAACAATGTGCAATGCCAAGACATGCATTCCCACTTGGGATATTTTGAGCTTACTTTTACAAGACGTTTTGATGAGATCTAATTTAATCTCAAGTGTGCCATGTGTGCAGTGCGGTGCATATGTTGCATGTGAAAGAACATGCAAATTGCAACATGGTTTTTAATTTGTTGCTCTGATGTACTAGTGCATCTCAAGCCACCGACTTAAATAATATCCCTATTGGGTAAGATTTGTTAAATTTAGTAATCCCCTGTGAATTGTGATGGCACCCTCTCAGGATCCTCTTTGTAGGGATCCTAGAGATACTCACATCATAGTCGTTCATCATATATCATGCGATCAGTTTTCGTTGGATACTATTTGTATTTAATTTTAAAAAAAAATTAAAATAATTTATGACCACACAATGTACGATAAACGGTTAAGATGTGAAAATCCCTACAATTTGAATCCAAAGGAGATCCAAATCCTTCTACAAGTTAATTACTTATTTAAAGAAAGAATATCGACGAGAATATCAAAATAAGAAAATGGTTGAAGAAGGTGTGGTATATCATCATCTTGTAATCGTGGGTGATGCAAGGTTTTTATTTTTATTTTATTTTAGGGAGACTTTGAATTAAGGTTCGGTTTGGTTGGCAAACCGTGCCAAATTTCTTGTGCCACCAGCCAGCCATATATACACAATTACTGAAAATCATCTATTGCCAACCAACCGTTATTTTGCGATTGCCGAAAATCGGTTTAGTCGAAATTGTTGATTGGTTCGGTTGGTAAATGGCACTAGCAGTAGCAACTGATATGGTACAAATTATATAATAGTTCTCAAAATTTGTAAGCATATATAGAATATCATTGTTTCATAAGGCAAGCAGCAACTAATATCGTATATACTTGCAATTTTATTAAGGCAGCAAGCACAAGGTAACAAGCAGAAACTGATATCACATATACACAAACTATTATGATTTAATTATAATCAAATCACATTAATTCGAACCTTGTAAGCATCATTCATATGATATTACATCATAGGACAACAAAAAGCAACTAAACTAACTAAAAATATGGAATGGAAATCACATCATTGCTTCATAAGGCAACAACGGTTGGAAATTTGAGTAATTTGAGTAGAAATTTCTTTGTCCCACACTGGTCATTCCCAAAACATTTTATCACTTTATAAGGCTTTGTCATTTATAGAAAATGATTAGAGTAATAGGTCTGGAGCATAAAATTGAGCTTACCCTTGGGGTTGTGCTTTGGGGTACACTAATTAATTGGTATATATAATTAATATTAATTATCAAAAGATGGGCCTTGGGCTTTGGGGTGCACTATTTAATTAATTATTTTTAATTAATTTCGAATTTAATTAATTAATTTTTTTTACCAACAGACTCATCCTTTCAGATAAAGTCTGAAGAGTTCAGAAAAAACACAGAGCAAAGCACCCCTCTGGAGACGATATCTCCCAACAGACATATCTCATTCTCATACATGTTGCGAACATGCATCATTCTATTATATATACATCCATCTGCATGATATTTAGGACACAGAAAATCAATATTCTTCTTCTACAATCACAAACATCATTTCTGAGAGAACCACACAGAAATTCGCCAGAAGTTAAGTTTTCTGGTGCTGGAATTCTAACTTGATCGTTGAATCCTGGTGAAGCAGACGTCCGTAGAACTACAAGCACTGAGTAGGGACGAAATTTCTGTTTCAAGGACATTGCGGTACGCAAGCCTCGATCTTCAATTTTTCTGTTTAAATTTATTTCGTTGTTCATTTTTATATTCGCATATATTGTTTATTAACATATATATAATTAAATCACAGATTGTTGAAATCTATCTAACAACAACAATGTCAGCGAGAATGGAAATCAAATCATTCGTGCAATCTGTTATGGGAGAGCAGGACGCCAGCACGGTGGCTTTTGATTCGTCAATGAGAAGAGGAAAACTGCGAGCGGGGCTGCGCTACAGGAGATCATCGGGAAGTGCTGAGTAGAAAGAAACTGAGAGTTGCGTGTGGGTTTTAATTTTCTAAACCCTAAAGGCTAAGACCATTAAATGACTTTTGCATGCAAAACAATACCTAAGATAGTTTTAAAGTATTTAAGAAAATATATATCGGTTGTTATGGTATACCACCGGTATAAGAAAACACAAACCAAAGTCGTACCGTTAATGATCGGTTCGGTTTCATGCCAACCGATTTTGAAGATACACCCAAATACTACCGTACCAATAGGAGCCCCACCGGTTCAGTTCAGTCGGTAAGTCGCTACATGGCAAAAAATTTCAGCCCTACTTTGGATGCGGTCCTTAGTTATGAATATTCTTTGATTGAAACATTGTTGATTTTTAAGTTTTGATCGAGGTCTCTGAAATTAATGTGATAATTTATTTCTATATACGTTATTATATGTTTTAAATTAAAAATTAGAAATTTTAGTTGTTTATATAAATGAGATTTTAAATAAAAAACCATAATTTGTGGGATTAAAAATATTAAAATATAAATATACTATTGTGTGTGTATATATATATATATATAAACATGGGTACATTCATAAAAATTAACCAATAAAATTATTGTGTCAAAACATGGGTACATTCTTCAAAATCACAAAAAAAAAGGTATTAGGCTTAATAACATTAGTAAATTTCTTCGATTAAACTTGACACGGATACATTTTAAAATCAAAGAAAAAAGAATGTACCCATATAAGTTTAAAAATGGATTAGAAAAAAAATTAATAGATTATATATATAAGGGTACATTTTACATATAACAAATTGGTATATTTAATAATGAGTACATTTTACGATTAAAAAGTTTTACATGAATGGGTACATATAATTAGCTTGGGTACATTTAGCAAAATAAAAACTACAAATAATAAAAATATATGGGTACAAATACAAATAAACTTTGAAAAAATATGAGCACAAAAAGAAATTAATATATGGGTACAAATTAAAATTGAAAAGAAAAATGGTACAAATTTAAAAAAAATTACAAATTAAAAATGGGTACAAATTAAAACTAAAAATATATGATAAAAAATTTAGTCATAAATATAAATATACTAACTATAACATTTTTAACATTAAATGAATATATTTAGAAATAAAAAATATATTTATTATTAAAATAATTAATGATGTTATTAATATCCAAGGACCTTGATCAAAAATTGAAAAGGAATGAGATTTTAATCAATGGAGTAGCAAAAAGAAGGATGAGAACCTAATTTCTCACTTTTATTTTTTATTTTAACAAACGATATTATCTACAGTAAGGGTAGAAAGTTGGCTAAGGCTCACAATGGGCTAACAATAATGTAGTTTAAATTTGTTTTTAGCTAGAATCAAATCTAAGACCTCTTACTTACAAATAAAGAGAAATACCACTAGACCGTAGTACTATGCAACGATTTAAAACTTTTCATTTACAAGTGAATAAAACTAATACTTGATTGTGATAATGAATGCGCCATGATCTTGACACGACTAAACAAGAAAACCTCCCCTAGGTACAGATTATTTTTATTTTTATTTTTATATCATCATCTTGTAATCGTGGGTGCTGCAAGGTTTTTATTTTTATTTTTATTTTTATTTTATTTTATTTATTCAGGTAAAAATTTTCTTACTTTTATTTTTTATCTTAACAAACGATATTATCTACCGTAAGGGTGGAAAGTTGGCTAAGGCTCACAATAAGCTAACAATAATGTGGTTTAAATTTGGTTTTAGCTAGAATCAAATCTAAGATCTCTCTCTTACAAGTAAAGAGAAAAATCATTAGACCGTAATACTAAGTAACGTCTCACTTACAAGTGAATAAAACTAATACTTGATTGTGATAATGAATGCGCCATGATCTTGACTCGACCAAACAAGAAACCTCCCCTATGTACAGATTATTTTCTAATTCTGAATATAATGTCTTAATGGGTCTTTAATTGAACATTGAGAAATGTTATATAGACTCTCTTAAAAGTTAAACTCTTTATGGACTATCTATCTCTTTATATTTTTGGCACAATTCCCGTACTAACATTATGAAAAAATATGCCAAAAAGATGAGATGATGAAAAGTCCATGGAAAGTCCCGCTTTGAGAGAGTCTCCTTAGCATTTCTCCCATTGAGAGAGTCTCCTAAACCCTAAACCTTTGGCATTTCTATTGACCATTA